TGTTGAAAACTGCAAGTCCAATGCTTTGATATTACATATATAGGTACTACATGTGGACCTCTCTCAGATTTGTTCATTTCATAATGATATCTTTAATTCTCTAATTTTGATGAATATTTTTGTAATTTTTGGTAAAAAGTGATATTTTCGACTTCTTGTTGAAAACTGCAAGTCCAATTGCTTTGATATTACATATATAGGTACTACATGTGGACCTCTCTCAGATTTGTTCATTTCATAATGATATCTTTAATTCTCTAATTTTGATGAATATTTTTGTAATTTTTGGTAAAAAGTGATATTTTCGACTTCTTGTTGAAAACCGCAAGTCCAATTGCTTTGATATATTATACATATAGGTACTACATGTGGACCTCTCTCAGATTTGTTCATTTTCTAATGATATCTTCTGTTCTTTAATTGCCATGTGCATTGCTAACAGCGGAGCTATCTCAGCCGACAGGCTGCTTGTTTAAAAATGTTGTATTTAAGACATGCTTTGTCAGTTGTCATTCAAACTTGGTACATAGATTATACATGCTAAGATACATGTCCATGACGATTTATTTCACAATTGCTGCTGATCTGCACTGGCTCGGAAGATAAATTCTGATTGGCTAAAAAAACAAAAAACTTGTGGCGTTGAATGCACGTTCATTCTCAGTAATGTTATGCAAATTAGAAATTCAAACTAGCTAATCATTTACAACCTTCCGAGCCAGTGCAGATTAGCCCCACAATTGGATCAAAGATGGTCGACTTGCAGGCATCTTGTTTTTTTATATGCGGTATCTTGAACGTGCTCTGTCAGTTTTCATTCAAATTTGGCACATACATGTACTTTATACATGTTAGGATGCATGTCCATGACAGTCTGACTTTTTGGCCTTACTACTATATTTCCACAATTTATGTACCATTTTCATTTGTATTTGGCACATACATCATACATATCAGTGTGTTTCATAATCAGATCAAAGATGGTCGAATAACGACTGTTTTTATTTTTGGCCATATTACTACTACACGGAACATGTGTTTTGATGTAAATAAACAATCTGTTGTATACGCCACTTGGAACTCAAGTTTCAAGGACACGCTCGCGACAACCTCTCCGCTTTAAAATAACGAGCACAAAGAGAACTTTCAAAAATTTTACGGGGACTGTGTCATTTTCAATGACTTGTTATAATTAAAGAGAATTACATGACTATTTAATTGTGATGATTAAAAATAATAATGCTATTTATATCTTTTTATCTGCAGCATATATTTCAAGCGTTTGGCGGAAACACGAAAGGACTTGCTTTCAAAGATCTATTTTGCGGATTGGTCTTACTGACACGTGGCAAACGAGAAGAGAAAATAAAACGTAAGTGAAGCTACACCCTCCGGCGTAAAGGGAAATAGTTGACTAAATAAAGATGCTGACAGATGTATTTATAAGTGATTGGCATACAATATAGCCACCGGTGAAAGACTTTATGCCTCTAAGATACAACTCCTCATCGTGTGTGTTTAAATTGCATGGTTGCAAGATTATGCGATAATTGCATTCTCTGTTTATTTTCTGTTCGCTGAAGGTTCTCTTTCTTCATCAAACCGGCTTGTCATGTCAGAGTTATTTAGAGTCGAGTAGAGTTTCTTGATCCCCATTCCAACAAATCATTGTCCTAAAAATAAAATTATAGATTCATGTTTCTGGTCATTGCATATATATATATATTCATGTTTCTGGTTATTGCATATATATATATTCATGTTCCTGGTCTTCGCATTTATATACTCATTTTTCAGGTCTTCACGTATATATATTCATGTTCCTGGTCTTCGCATTTATATACTCATTTTTCAGGTCATCATGTACAATGTATACATGTATATATTCATGTTCCTGGTCTTCGCATTTATATACTCATTTTTCAGGTCTTCACGTATATATATTCATGTTCCTGGTCTTCGCATTTATATACTCATTTTTCAGGTCATCATGTACAATGTATACATGTATATATTCATGTTCCTGGTCTTCGCATTTATATACTCATTTTTCAGGTCTTCACGTATATATATTCATGTTCCTGGTCTTCGCATTTATATACTCATTTTTCAGGTCATCATGTACAATGTATACATGTATATATTCATGTTCCTGGTCTTCGCATTTATATACTCATTTTTCAGGTCTTCACGTATATATATTCATGTTCCTGGTCTTCGCATTTATATATATATATATTCATGTTTCTGGTCTTAATATATATATATACTCAAAACAGTCCCTATAAACTGACTTTCTTAGTTCTTCATCATGCTTTTAGCCAGCCATGTGTCGCACGAGACAGGACTTTTATATCAGGTTAAACAATCTATTCAATGCTAAATTTCAACAAATTGCCATCTTTCAATTGAAAATTTCCTGCTGTTTAGAAAATGTATGTACACAACTTAATGTTTTTTTTTGAAATGTGATTTTCCAAATACAATAAATTATTATCCATCTAGCACTGTAAACATTCAATTTACAGTTGATTACAATTTACATATTTGTACATCATCAATATTTTCTATATTTATTGGTAAAATACGTCACGAGCATTGAATCAAGCTTGATTAATTATGTCACGTTCATTTCGTCTGTTTTCATCGCATGAAACAGTTATAGCAGTATGTGACAAAGGTAGAATCTTGTCACAGGCTTGAATGTTTTCATTATTGCGAAAAATCGGCAAAGTGTGCATAAAGGCAGTACGAAGATTGCACTTAACTTTGCATACAAATGTTTCCACTGTCTTAATCTACCGCAGATGTAGGGCATGTGTGTATACGGTTTGAATAAAAATGACTTTCTAGTTCCATAGTACTTAGTAGGATTCCAATTTGCGGTTTTAGTTTTATACTATCGTAGATCATACATCATATCAGTGTACTGTCGTAGGGTTTCCAAACTCAGTTACTCATTGTCTTGTACATGTATATGTTCTTAGTTTGACTGAGAATCCATACTGAGTCATTTACCCACAATTAAACAATTTCTTACTTAGTTTATCATGGCTATTCTGCTGATCACCATGTAATACATTTTGTAGCGTTTTTTTTTTAATCTTCAATGTCAAATGAAACCCATTACTTTCCAGCAGTTTTCGTCAGGGTTCTCTTAAAAATCTTAAGGTCTCAAATTCCAATTGCATACAATTGAGCATATTACTGTGTGTATGGTTCAATGGATTAGAAGAAGAGAACTTCCCATTGTATATAATGAAAGACTATTGGATTCTCAAAGAAATCAAATATCAATGATTTGAAATGTTTTAAAAAAATATTAAGATATGAAGGAATTTTATACATGCAAAACAAATTCACTGTAAATTTCAGGATGACATAATATCTGGGTTTCTATTAATATTATTTTTATGTTTTGTTTGTTGTCAAAACGTGTGTTAAATGCATATACATGTACATGTACAATCATATACAATGTACGATTCTGGACTTCACATCCCATTTCAATATATGGTGTTTCTTTTTACAGCAGTGTTGTAAATTCTAATACATTTGACATAGTTAGGCTGTCTAATTTATACCATTGGGTCGCCGAACTAATTTTCATCCTGATTCAACAATTGTTTTTCAATCAGAGATGAGATTGAATGTGCTGTCGACAAAAAAAAAGCAGTGTCGTAGCATCATGCTATGGCTGTGATTGCTTTTCTCTTTATCATTCATGGCTTTTGCCAATCTAGCGATTTGTATGTATAGATTGTCTGAAGCTAAGACAGAAATAAAAGACCCTTTCCATCGTACATGTCTGCTCTTGTTGCTGACGCTGTTTATTCTCTGGCATTTTTACATAGATTTTGGCCATTTCCATGGCTTTTGGTTATTTAGTGCCCCTCTAAGCCCCTGCTATCTCCCCTCCCCACAGTATTGAGATGAGTTATAGATTAAACTGATTGTGATAAGCATTGACTTGTTAGTCATATTAACGAGTTTTACTATCGCAATGTATCAAGCACACTAACAGTGCTCTATCGGGACTACACATCAGTACTGTAATGCAGAACAGACTGACTGTCGATTTCAAGTTGTACCGATGATTTAAGAAATGCTGTTAATGTGCTATGTTTGAAATCATTTTTGAAATCAGTCTTGTACTCTAACAGATGTGAACTTGAACTGAACTGAAATTTACAACTTTTGGAGGCAAAGTGTCATAAAATTGGCTTATGATTTCCCTAAAGGTTACACATCCTGATATTAAATGGGGGTGGGGATGGGAGAGATGTATTATTGTTTAGGAGCAGCAATAATTCCCTATATTATACCTCAGATGTTGCCAGGTTCTGAAATTTTGTTGACAGATTTTCATTGGTTGTGAGTATGTTACTCAGAAAGTACCAGGATGTTTGACCTTTAGGGGTCATGCATGAAGGCCTGTTGTATTTCACATTACTATCACCACCAATTACATCCATTTCATTCCTATGACAGCTGTTGATTGGTTGCAGTACTCGTACAAAAGAAATTGTCTTTCATCCTCTCATCCACTTTCCTGACTCAAACATGTACACTTTCACATGCCTATATTTTTTTGTTTTGATTTATACAATATTGTTTTTTGAAGTTTTTCAAAAGGCAGTTGTTTCGTGACTGTTGCCCCAAGTAATACTAATACTTGTAAGATGTTCACTTGTGCGGTTTTGGTGTTTATCGATATTTCATGAAATTTGCATTTCAAAATTAAGTAGTTTTGCATTCATCACGCTTCAATCTTGTTCACTTTGGTACACGTCTAATTCTTATCTTGAACTTTGAATATAAATCAAGCGATCAAGCATTAGGATGTCAAGGCGTCTGTGGTTTCGTAAATAATTCCGGTCACTAGGCTTCCCTGGAGTCCCAATCATATATACAAAATGTAGAAGCGATTCATGGTCATGAATACCTAGTCCATGCCCCATTGGAAAATAAAAATAGTGTCTTACGGTTCAGTGGCTATGTCAAATTCAATCTGATAAAAACCAAACTGCTTTTATCAAAAAACCAGAATAAATAATTGTTATATTCATGCGCAAACTCAGAAGTATAAATCAGTATTTTAGTTTTTAGTTATGAATACAAATATAATTCATTTTAATAGCCAGATTTGTTGCAAATCAAATCATTGTAATAAATGTCAACTCATCGAAATGTCAATATCTATGGTATATATAGAGATCTTGCTTGATATTATGTATGTAGAATGTATACACGGCATTGTGCATAATGATAGATTATTATAGCTGTTAAAAATAACGTTTATGGATTCAGTTTTTGTTTTGTTGTTACCTAGACGATGCAGTGAGCTTGTACCAGTAATTCACGAACAATAATCCCACAATAGCGTCTTAATCCTTCTTCGAATGGTCTACAAATCACCGTCGCACCTATAACACCCCCCCCCCACTCTGTTACAAAAAGTACATGTATGAATAAAAAAAGGGTCTATTGATTTACAATATATAGCCATCTCCATGGAAACGTGTTTTCGTGCTGTTAGACCGGGATCATATTTCTCTGCTTCGCTGAGGAACAAACTGACTGTAGCGTGTGCGTGAATACATCAAAGTGCCTACACTGGATAATTTGATAGTGTGATTAGATTCAAGCAAGCCGTTGATCCATCAGTTCAGTCATCCATACCCGCAAAACTGCAATATATGTATATTCTCAAAAAAAACTTTTGCACGCATATTAAGATTTCCTTCTGGGTTTGATAAGAACCGATGCATTTCATGATAAAACATCATTGTTTTTTATGACATTAAAAATATTTGTACCCAGAGAGTAATCTAGTGATTGTGTGAGCTTTAATACGTACAAGTAAACCGTGATGTCGTCTGTGCTCTTAAAAGCATAATTCAGTTATTCAGAGGATATGATTTTGCATGCAATGTGTGCATGTACAATGTATCTATGGGCATTTGAGTAGGGGGTACACATTGTAGGTGTGAAGAGGCCTGACTGATAACATTGCTGAAATAATGATACAGTCGTAAACCCATGAAGATCACACATCCTGGTACCAAAGGTCACACATCCTGGTACCAAAGGTCACACATCCTGGTACCAAAGGTCACACATCCTGGTACCAAATAAAGGTCACACATCCTGGTACTTTTTAATGGACAAACTCACAGGAAGTTCTCAATTATTTGTTTTTCAAAAATTCAAAGACAATTCAACATGGCAAAATTTGATGTATGATATTTAAAATTATCACTGTTTTGGACATCACCCCCAAGATGTATGTGTGCATGACCTTTAGGGGTGATTTAATCGCAAGGGTTTCTGCATCCATACGGCTTCATTGGAGTATGATTTTGTTCAAATTTTGTGGGAAACATATGATGCTGATGTTAATTTTGCTCGCCTTTCCAGTTGATTTCACGTTCAAATTTCCTTTGCTTTTGACTAGTATTGCAGCACAAATGGATTCACAAAGATTTGTTTCTGTTCTGAAATACACTAGGCCACATGAATCTTTATTTTTCAGTGTGGACAAATTTAGACAAATAGACCATCAGACTTATTTATTTTTTTGCATGACTATATGTGCATAGTAACTGGTCAGAAAGAACCAGTCGTTTGCTCCTATAGATATAATAACAGATGTATGTGTTCTTGTTACTGTAAAATGACTAATTTTCACTGGGTTTAAATTTTGCTGATTTACCATTTCAGGCATATTCAGTGGGTTTTAAGTTTACAGTTTTATCATTTAGATAAATGTGTTCTATGCTAAATTTTACATATTCACTGGGTTTTAATTTAGCACATTTTCCAGTCGGCAAAATTAAAACACAGTGAATAATTAACCTTTTTACAGTAATAAAACAACTTAAGGGCAATGTTGTCACAGCACGTCGTCATAGAGTAACATACGCTAAAAGACATTTGCATGGTGGTTCGCAAAAACATAAACAAACTACATCAGAGTTAGATTGCCTATGCTTCACATTATAGTCCCACGACCGCAATAAAACTTTAGGAATGTTCTAAAGAGTGTGACTTTAATGTCTCGCATTTACAATGTGCAAGGTTATAATAGTTGTGCTATGTTTTTTTTATTTCAGTTGTATACAGTATCTACAGTAATGATTCCAGTGGCTTGGTACATAAAGACGAGCTTGAGTCTCTCATTATGGCGTCAGATTCACACCTTCCACAATCTCTTCCTGCACTATTTTTTGATGTAAGTATCGTTGTCCTAAACTTTTAACACTTACCGCGCAACTCTAGAGACAAATTGGACAAATATTGAAAAAAAATATGACAAAAAAAAAATTTTTTTTTGCATTTCATGTTTACATGAATATTCAATGAACTGCATCAAATAAGTGTCAGTAAGTGACAAGTTGGTTTCCATGGTAACTAGTATTTTGCACATATAGTATTTGCATCAATTCTCTCTCCCGCCGGATTTATTGTGTTTTGGGGGAAACAAGCTTGTACATCTTTAAAATGGGGGATTACAATGTTTGCTGGGAATTTTGGGGGTGTGGTATTTGTGGGGTTGGAATCCTGAGGAAGACAATTGTAAAGTAAATTAATAAGGGGACTAAGTGGGGTGGGGAGTTAATATGAGGCTATTTTCCCAATTGTGTCAAAGCAGTTTTATTCCATGCTGGAATGAATTGGATTTGTGTGAGAGGAATACTCCGTGCTGAGATTTATATTTTAGTAATTTTCATGTTATCTATCTTATTTCACTGTTAACAGTTTGGTGTGTTCATATAATAAAAAAAAAGAAGATAAGTTTTACAATCAGTTAACTGCTCATATCAGTATTGGGATTAAAATATGAAACATTACTTTTAAAATTTAGATTTGCATAGAAAACAGTGCTTGCAACATAGACCTTTTGGCCTTTTAATCATGAAACTTCTTTGGCATTTATAATACGTTGTGGTATGAGAGAAAAAAAAGGCTTGTATCTGGGCATTCATCTTGGTCTTTCCTGCTGTTTTACTCTTTCATAGTTGATATCTGTGATGTTTAGCTTGTTGGGTTGACACACATGCACTAAAGTACTCTGACAATGCTGTCTGAGTGTGATGATATACGGTACTGTTGTGACTCGGTGATAACTCTCATTCTAGACACTACTAAGATCAAACACATTAGCGTATCATAGACTGACTGTTTTAATTCTAAAATGTCGTGACTTCGTTTCTGAGGTGTAAATGTAACTGAAGCTACTGCTAATGGGAAAAAGACTCAAGTCAGTCATTGACCTCATTTACAGCAATTTGGTTAAAGTAGATAGGGAAAAGGTGTAGGTTTTTGTGCGAAAATGGAAAGGGACATTGAATTCAATCAGGAACATGATTCCAATGATATTCTGGTAATGTCTTCTCTGATGCTATTGCCCTCTCACCAGAAATGCATTAATTATTTTTATCAGTATGTCTCGTTAATTCAGTGGCATAAACTTTTCAGCCATGTTCGATATTGTCATTTCTTGTGCATATATTTTTCAAGATGCTGGAGAAAATGCAACTTAACTCTTTCACCAAGAGACTTTCTCGCCCGAATTTTTCTGTACTTTCTTCTTACATTTCTGGAAGTGAATTATAATTTTGGAGCCAACAGACAAAATTTGAGTCAATTATTAGTTTTTATTTGAAACAATTCAGCTATTTTTGTCTCAATCTTGTGACGGAAGTTCAGACAATAAAGCAGACTACGGTATTTTGTGAATTTGTGGTGGTGAAAAGATTAAAACTGGTGTCTTCTTGTGGTTTCAATGAATCAAATAATTTCCATATGATCATCTTCAATCTTGGAAATCTTGCCAATCACTATAAAAGTTCAAGTTCAATTTGACTAACATTTGGCTAAAATGAAACATTTGTGACACAGATAGAGAATGAAGCACGGAAAATACAGATTTATACACTGATGTTAGAACCGAAGTTCATATTGACTCCTAATCAGCCTAATGTATTATTACTGGTACATATTTATATTTCTAGTCGGATAGAGCTACATATGAACAGTTTCACCAGTGGGTCACAGTTAATTTTGATGCTACAACCATTACAAGGTGGTTGCTACAAGACGGCGGTGCAATGGGTATTAGATTATCGGATGAAAGCGACACACCCACATTCTACCAGACGCTAGCTGGTGTTACGCATCGTAAGTTGTTTTGTTTTTTCCATCAAATCATCAGGCACGAACTGAAGAAGTTAAAATGGAATGATGGCATCTTTCTGTTACTATTATTAATTTGAAAATAAAAAAAAATGCAAAATTTTGGAAAGAAATATTCTGTTCAATAAGAAAAGTAATAGGTACAGTAATGAAGTATTCTAGATTTAGCTCCAAGTATTGTAGAATACTTTATTTTTGCTTGGAATTTATTTTCGCTGAAGGGATGCTTCAGAGAAAATAAAATCCAGCGAATATACTTTTTAGCTCCGCTGTCGACTTTGTCGAGCAGAGCTTATCATATGAGTGATTGTTCGTCGGCGTCCGGCGTCCGTCGTCCGTGTCAATGTTTTACTTTTTCGACTTTTTCTTGAAAACTACATGCCTGAATGCTTTGATACTTGGTGTGTATGTACCCGGGGTAGACCTCTCTTAGATTTGTTCATTTCATGATGATATCTTCAATTCTCTAATTTTGGTGAATATTTTTGTGGTAAAAAGTGATATTTTTGACTTCTTGTTAAAAACTGCAAGTCCAATTGCTTTGATATTGCATATATAGATGCTACATGTGGACCACTCTCAAATTTGTTAGCTCCGCTGTCGACTTTGTCGAGCGGAGCTTATCATATGAGTGATTGT